ATGCCGAGGTAATAGAACCTAGGGGGCTGTTGTGGGGATATATTTTCTGAGTACCAACACGTGGCAAGGTGACGCCGATGTGTCAGCCGAGGTGCCACATGTCCTGGTCGTAACGCCGAGGTGATCTCGGCAAGGCCGAGGTTGTCTCCAAAGATATCGAAATCCGAGATAAGTGGATAAGGGCCAAGAGTCCTAGAATGTAAAGGGAACTCAACCTAGATGAGGGACAAGAGTCCTAGAATGAGAGAAGACTTCAGTTTGTATTAAGATAAGACTCTTAGAGAGTTTATCCTAATCTCACTGGGAGTCCCAGATTAGCAGTAATCCTAAGTCCATCAGGGTCAGGCTCCTATTGGGATTAGGATTGTATTGGCTATAAAAGAGAGGCACCCCCATGGGTCTAAGGTATGCTTTTGACACTCAAGCTTGTGAGTTTAGTACTTGATTTATCTTTGAGAGATATACTGACTTGATCGTTGGAGTGCCCCCGGGTGGAAGAGCCACCGCCAAAGCCTTCTCTTTCTGTTACAGGTCAGCCAGGTGCCATCTATTCTGCCGGTGCTTTCCAGCTGGTTACTAAGCGGGGAGTGTGGTCAGAAAATCACTCACACAATTTGGCGCCGTCTGTGGGAAAGAAAAAAGAATAGATGGCCAATGACGGACAGAAGGATCAGATTAGCGACAACGCTCCTGCTGGGAGTGGGAGACCTGTCGATCTCGACGCTGAAGGGGACGACCGCAACACAGAAACTCGTGACCAGAGTCACGGAGTGAAAGACGCCGGCCAGGAAGATGACACACCAAAGACAACAGATTGAAGCGGATACTACAACGAAGATGACCTCCAGGTATAGAAGGATAGATACCTGCGGAGGAACGAAGACCCTTCCAGAAGGGATGCGAAGACAGGGGGCATGAGCGCTCCCAAAGAGATAACATTCAAGTATAGAAGAGCTCAACCTGAATGAGCAAATCCCGGATCCCATATCCCAGAAGACATTATCTCAGCTTAGATGAGTAGGTCCGAAAAAAAAAAGAGCTCAACCTGAGTGAGCAGATCCAAGATTCCAGAAGATAAGATCTCGGCAAATGAGTCCGAGAAAAAAAGAGCACAATGAGCAGATCTCAAATCCCAGAAGATAAAAAGGGAAACACATAAGATCAGACTAAAGTTAGCCAGAATTGATAAGTATGTTAGGGCCGAGGAGGACATACCAGGAACAAAGGCGTTGGAACAAGAAAAGAGAAACGGCTCGCCGATGCGAGGCCGAAAATCAAACTCAAGTTGAAGCCAAGTAAGATCAATAGAGAAACCAAGGCCGACAGCATCGGCTTGAATTCAACCTCGGCAACAAGGTCGAAACTACATGTATGATGAGAACCCAAGTGGATTTTAAGTTCACACTGGGGGGCAGAGAGAAAAAGTAATGCTTAACGCTTGTTGAAATTTGTAGCAATTTACAAGTTGAAGTTAAGCCGAGATTATTGTTTATCTTCACTTGTTGAAATTTGTAGCAATTTACAAGTTGGTTAAACCGAGGTGATGTTTAACCAAAGTTAAACCGAGATAATGTTTAACCGAAGTTAAACCGAGATGATGTT